ACACATACACATATGTATATATATATCCATACACACATAAACACATATATATACACATATACATACATAAATAAATATAAATAGTAAATTTAAATTAATATTGAATAAAATAAATCATACATACATACATACATACATACATACATACATACATACATACATACATACATACATACATACATACATACATACATACATACATACATACATACATACTACATACATACATACATACATACATACATACATACATACATACATACATACATACATACATACATACATACATACATACATACATACATACATACATACATACATACATACATACATACATACATACATACATACATACATACATACATACATACATACATACATACATACATACATACATACATACATACATACATACATACATACATACATACATACATACATACATACATACATACATACATACATACATACATACATACATACATACATACATACATACATACATACATACATACATACATACATACATACATACATACATACATACATACATACATACATACATACATACATACATACATACATACATACATACATACATACATACATACATACATACATACATACATACATACATACATACATACATACATACATACATACATACATACATACATACAAACATTCATGCATACATACATACATGCATACACACATATACATACATATACACACATACACATATGTATATATATCCATACACACATAAACACATATATATACACATATACATTCTCACACATACACACATATGCATACATATTTTTTTTTTTTTTTAACAATTTAGAGCGTTCGTAGTACATATACAAAATAAAAATGGTAATAATACAAGTTTAAATAAATCAAAAACCAGCGCAGCAATTGTATTTACATTTAAAGTCGTTCAATATAATAGCGTAAATAAAATAAAATATATAAAAACCAAACATCGTAGTCAGTGCAACCTTTGATTAAATTTAAATAAATATATATAAATAGTAAATTTAAATTAATATTGAATAAAATAAATCAATATTTAGGTATTTAAGAGCTAAGTATAATTTAAAAGTATGTAAGTATATTATCAATTAAAAAAATTACTTCTTTAAGTTTTCTCTTAAATAAAAAATAACTCCACTCATGAGAAAAATCAAAATTTTTTAAGACAATATTGTTCCATAAGAAAGCTCCGCGAAATGAAATACAGGTTTTACCAAAGATAGTTT